GTGGAAGCGGTTGAGGTGGCTGTGTTGGACGAGGTTGGTATGATATGTGAAAGAAGAGGGGAAGGTACTTTTCTATAGAAGGCCACAAATTCTTCTTTTTATAGAAGACCAGAAATTTATTTCCTAGATGACCTGAAAGACTTCTTTAATTGAAGACATCTCAGAAGACCAGGTAGCCCATAGAAGACTTGGAAGTCTTTTGCCATAGGAGACCAGGAGGTCTTCTATAATAAAAGATCGTAAAGTTTTGTGCCATACAAAACTATAAGGTGTTGTGTCATAGAAGAATATGACTTCTTCCATAGAATACCTGAAGGGCTTCTTCCACAGAAGACCTGGAAGTCTCCTTACATATAACACCAGGAGGTCTTCTGCAATACAAGACTTGAAGGTCATATATCTAATACCTAAAGGCCTTCTTCTTCTTCCACAGAAGAAGACCTCAAGGTCTTCTCCCATAAAATCCTGGAGGTCTTCTTCCATAGAAGACTTGTAGATCTTCCTCCATTGAAGACTTGAATGCCTTCTTCTGTATGTTTTCTTCTTTTTCTTCCACGGAATACATGCATATTTTCTTGGATTTTCTTCTTCCACAGAAGACCTGGGGGTGTTTTTCTTCTTCTTTCGCAGAAGACCTGAAGTTCTTCTCTTTCTTCTGCAGAAAACCTTTCTTCCGCAGAAAACCTTCTTCCTCGAGGTATTCTTCTTCCACAGAATATCCGGAGGTCTTCTTCTTCCGCGAAGAACTTGATGTCTTTTTTCATAGAAGACCATAAAATACCTAGAGGTCTTATCCCAAAGTAGACCTGGACGCCTTCTTCTTCCATAGAAGACCTGGGGTTCTTCCTTTGCCATGTAAGACCTGGAGGTCTTCTTTTGCAATAGAAGGCCTGGAGGTTTTCTTATGCCATAGAAGATCTGGAGGTCTTCTTAGCCCATAGAAGATCTGAAGGTCTTCTTATGCCATAGAAGAACTGGAGGCCTTCTTCTGCCATAGGACACCGAAGGTCTTCTGCCATAGAAGATCTGGATGTCTTCTTCTGCCATAGAAGACCTGGAGGTCTTCTTCTGCCATGGAAGACCTGGAGGTCTTCTGCCATTGAAGACCATGAGGTTTCCTACCAGAGAAGACAATAAGATCTATTGCTATGGAAGACCTGAAGGTCTTCTTCTTCCATAAAATACGACGAGGTATTTCTCTTCCATAAAAGACATGGAGGTCTTCTTCCATAGAAGACCTCAAGATCTTCTTGTTCTTCCACAGAAGACCTGGAAGTCGTTTTCTTCTTCCATAGAAGACTTGGATGTCTTCTTCTTCCATGGAAGACCTGAAGGTCTTCTTCTTCCAAAGAATACCTTCCGTAGAAGACTCGAAGGGCTTCTTCCATATAAGGCGTGGAGGTCTTCTTCCCTAGAAGGCCTGGAGTTATTCTTCCATAGAAGACCCGGAGGTCCTCTTCCCTAGAAGGCCTTCTTAGATAAAAGGCCTGGAGATCATCTTCTTCAATAGAAGATATTGTGATCTTATTTTTTCCCATGGAGACCTGTGGGTCTTCTTTTTCCATAGAAGACCAGGAGGTTTTCTTCCATAAAAGACCTGGATGTCTTATTCCATAGAAGCCCTGGAGGTCTTCTTCTTCTTTCACAGAAGACTTGGAAGTTTTCTTCCATAGAAGACCTGGAGGTCTTCTTTTTCCATGGAAGACCTGGATGTCTTCTTCTTCCACAGAATACCTTCATGCTTTCTTCTTCTTCTTCCACAGAAGGCCCGGGGTTTTTCTTATTCATATTCCACAGAAGACATCGAAGTGTTTTTCTTCTTTCACAGAAGACCTGGAGGCCTTCTCCTTCCTTCGCGGAAGACCTGGGGGTTTTCATTTTCTTTTACAGAAGATCTGAAGGTCTTCTTTTCCTTTAACAGAAGACCTGGAAGTTTTCCTCTTCTTCCCCAAAGGCTTGGAGGTTTTTTTTTCTTTTCCACGGAAGACCTGGAATTCTTGGTCTCTTCATGCTCTTCTTTCTGGGGAAGACCATAAGGTCTTCTGCCATAGAAGACCCTAAGAATATAAGGTCTTCTCTTGTCTTCTATGCCATCTTCATGTCAAAGAAGACCATAAGTTACTCTGCCATAAAAGACCATAAGGTTCTCCACCATAAAAGACCATAAGGTCTTCGGAAATAAAAGACCATCAGGTCTTCTGCCATAGAAGACCGTGATATGACAAAGAAGACCATAAGTTTTTTTCTGATGGTCATGATCTTCTATGGAAGGCCTTTTGCCAAAGAAGACCACGAGGTATTCTGTCATAAAATACTAAGGTCTTCCGCCATAGAAGACCATATGTTTTTTGATGTAGGAAACTTGGTCTTCTGTCATAAAAATATATTTTCTGGTCCCAAAATTTCAGTTACTTCTTTTTTTTGCAAATTATTCAATTCCCTTTCCAATCAAACCACCCACTCCCAGCATCTTTCTTGGCAAAAAAAAATGCAAATGCTAATCTCAATATCCCCACATTACCATGTGTATGGAGCAGCAAATGTAGCAGACTAACCACACCTTTAGATATATTTCAGATATTCTGCTGTTGTTGCTTTTGGTAGGCCTTTAAAACAACACATCTTTCAATGCTGCAATGCTCTGCATGGTATGCAAACATACACATGCACACAACCAGACAATCACCCATAACATAACGAGTAGCGTCAAAAATCGTAACAATCATTTTTCTTAGTAGGCCAATTGTCTCCATGTTCGATAGTGTGTCGCTTGCTGGTAATTAAATGCTTTTCATATGCTCCGATATATGGCCCAAAGGCAAGCAGAATACAAAAAAAAATATTGCCATTACCATTTGAAAAAACACAGAAAAGAGCCTTGTTAATGGTGTTAAATACGACACACATTACACTGCGCACACATACACATATATATACACTTGGTGACAGGCAACGGCTGCTGGCCGATGTTGCAGCAGCTAAGCCTAGATTGCAAGCTATTTGTGGCGTTGGTGAAGTGAATGCGTGTATTGGCCAGGCTTGGCATTTAAAAAATCGAAGCAACAGAAAAAAAGAATGTTGGTATTTTAATCTTCGGCCAGGTATTTGAGTTGCCGGGTTTTCAAATCCTATTTTGAAATTTAACTCGAAGCTTCGAAGCGTTTTTGATTGATCAAGATATCATTCTTAGCAAATAATTTTTAAGAAACATAAAAATTATGGGCAAAATATTCAAAAATATATTTTATAAGAAAGTCCTATAAATATTATATGAAGGTGTCCAAAAACGTCATTTGGGGCTCACATCACGGGGGCTATACGAAGACGTGTTCCTGCACAGACAATTTTCTGTCTTAGGCTGTAGTATCCATTACGAACCTCAAATACCGAATTTGAAACAATTCCGGTGAATAATGTTGCTAAAATCATCAAAATACCGAATATCGGGAGGTACAGGGCTATACGAAGACGTGGGCCTGCATAGACAATTTTCTGTCTTAGGCTGTAGAATCCATTACGAACTTCAAACAAGAAATTTGAAAGAATTCCTGCAAATAATTTCGCTAGAATTAACAAAGTACCGAATATCGGGAGGTACAGTTATATGAGGGCTGTACGAAGACGTGGACCGGCAATGACAATTTTCTGTCATAGATTGTAGTATCTATTACGAACTTCAAATACCAAATTTGAAACAATTCCGGTTAATAATGTCGCTATAATCATCAAAAGTACCGAATATCGGGAGGTGCCGTTATATGGGGCTATACGAAGACGTGGACCAGCATAGACAATTTTCTGTCTTAGGCTGTAATATCTATTACGAACTTCAAATACCAAGTTTGAAAGAATTCCCCTGAATAATATCGCTAAAATCATCAAAAAATACCGAATATCGGGAGGTACAGTTATATGGCGCTATACGAAGACGTGAACCTGCACAGAAAATTTTCTGTCATAGGCTGTAGTATCTATTACGAACCTCAAATACCAAATTTAAAACAATTCCTGTGAATAATTTCGCTAAAATCAACAAAGTACCGAATATCGGGAGGTACAATTATATAGGAGCTATACGAAGACGTGCACCTGCACAGACAATTTTCTGTCTTAGGCTGTAATATGCATTACGAACTTTAAATACCAAATTTGAAACAATTCCGGTGAATAATGTCGCAAAAATCATCAAAATACCGAATATCGAGAGGTACCGGTATATGGAGGCTATACGAACACGTGGGTCTGGACAGACAATTTTCTGTCTTAGGCTGAAATATCCATTACGAACTTCAAATACGAAATTTGAAAGAATTCCTGTAAATAATTTCGCTAAAATCATCAAAATACCGAATATCGGGAGGTACAGTTATATGGGAGCTATGCGAAGACGTGGACCTGCGCAGACAATTTTCTGTCATAGGCTGTAGTATGCATTTCGAACTCCAAATACCAAATTTGAAACAATTCCTGTAAATAATATCGCAAAAATCATCAAAATACCGAATATCGGGAGGTACCGGTATATGGGGGCTATACGAAGACGTGGACCTGCACAGACAATTTTCCGCCTGAGGCTGTAGCATCCATTACGAACTTCAAATACCAAATTTGAAACAATTCCGGTGAATAATGTCGCTAAAATCATCAGAATACCGAATATCGGGAGGTACCGTTATATGGGGGCTATACCAAAACGTGGATCTACATGGCCCATTTTCAATACCAAAAGTCCTGCAGACATAATATACATTTAAGAAAATTTTTATAAATATACTTCAATTCGTTCGGAAGCTAGAGTGATTTCCACAGACGGACGGATATCGCTAGATCGACATAGAATTTTATGTTGATCAAGAATATAATACTTTGTGGGGTCTAAAATATATATTTCGAGATGTTACAAACGGAACGACAAACTTAATATACCCTCCATACTGTGGTGGAGGGTATAAAAATGCCCCAAACATAATTCTAATAATTTTCATCTACATTTATTTCAGATTTCTAATTTTGTTGCTGTTTTGAAGAGAACTTGTAACAGTAGCCAGCGAATAATTGTCACAAATTCGCAACAAACCCCTAACAAGTAAGTTCCGATTTTTTTCAAACCCAATTCCCAAAGATATGATCTCATTTCCATTAGGTAAGCTCATTTCCACTTTTCACAACAAATTACCTGTCATCAACTTGGTTGAACTAAGAAAATACATTCTCGTATTACCAACTTAGCTAAGAAGTTGTATTAATCTTGGCAAACAAGTTTTTTTTCCACCGCAAAACGAAAGACTTAAGCCACAAACTTGTAAAACAGACAAATGACCATAATTAGTCATAAGTAACCGAGTTCATTCATAAATTGAACAACTAATGCGACATCTCATCGCCATATCCAAGTGGTTTTGGTGTCCATGGCGGCAACAATGTTTGTACAAGACAAATCTAGATAATTTTAGGATATTTCGTTTATAGAAACGTCAGAAGTGAGCTAATGTGGACACTAATGAATGATAAGTCCGTGAGACAATTTTCGATCATTAGAACTTCTCAATTTTTATTCATCCAAGGGCATTGTTTTTTATACAATCCTTAATCTTCATATTTAATGATGTCCTTCTGTCTGTATGCAGTTTATGAGAGGTACGTAGACTTGGAACTGTGCTATAAACTGAAAATTGGGCTGGGAATTCAAAATACTTACACAATACGATTATCTGCACTTAGAATTTCTAAAACCCCAGACAATATTGGTTTGGGAAGGTGGACCTGATAGGTATGGCTATATCAGACCTACATCATAAATTTGGCCTGAGAATTATACATCCTCCACCTCCAAAGAAGCCTAAATACAAATTGTCCAATTGATTGGAAAGTGTATTCAAGACCCTCAAAGTAGGTAAAATAAAAGGATACCTTGCATACTCCGAAGCTTTGACTTAATTAGAAAAATGTTCTACAAAGAGGTTTTCAACCCCCTTAAAAACCATGTTCACAAATAGGGACCAAATCAATTGAAAAATGTGTCCAAAGCCACGAAAACATATCTGAAATTAGAAAATTACTTCATAAAAGGGTTCTACCAAAACGTGGGCCTATTTTGATATTTTTATACCCTCCACCATGGGTAGGAGGGTATATTAACTTTGTCATTCCGTTTGTAACACCTCTAAATATTCGTCGTAGACCCCATAAAGTATATATATTCATAATCAGCATAAAATTCTAAGACGATTTAGCGATGTCCGTCTGTCTGTCTGTCCGTCTGTCTGTCTGTCTGTCCGTCTGTCTGTCTGTCTGTTGAAATCACGATAGAGCCCACATTATTTGACGTAGACCTTTGAAATTTGGCACAAGTGTGTGTATTGTCCCTAGGATGGTTGGTATTGAAAATGAGATATATCGGTCCACGTTCTGGTATAGTCCCCATATAACGGTACCTCCCGATATTCGGTATTTTGATGATTTATGCCACATTTTATCACGGATTTATCTGAAAATTGGTATTTGTAGGTCATGACGGGTCCCTGAGCGTGTGGCAAAACATTGCATGTATAGGTCCACGTTTTGGTATAGCCCCCATATAACGGTACCTACCGATATTCGGTATTTTGATGATTTATGCCACATTTTTTCACGGATTTGTCTGAAAATTGGTATTTGTAGGTCACAACGGGTCCCTGAGCGTGTGGCAAAACATTGCATGTATAGGTCCACGTTCTGGTATAGTCCCCATATAACGGTACCTCCCGATATTCGGTATTTTGATGATTTATGCCACATTTTTTCACTGATTTGTGTAAAAGTTGGTATTTGTGGGTCATAATGGGTCCTAGTTCGTGTGGCGAAACATTGTAATTATAGGTGCACGTGTTGGTGTAACCCCTATATAACGGTACCTCCCGATATTCGGCATTTTAATGTTTTTTGCCACATTTCTTCTAATGTTCTTTTACCCTAGGGTGGAGGGTATTAAAAGTTTGGCCCGGCCGAACTTAATGTTTTTTTACTTGTTTTGCTTGGATTGTTTCTTCTTATAGAGATCATAAATTACCAAAATTTAGCGAAGTTAGTATAGCAGATTAAAAATTATCCGACCAAAAAATATACCCTCAGCTTATGTCTGACAATAAAATATATTTTGACTGGATTATTCCAGATGTTTACCTTTTATTGGGATAGCAATATAGCTAGAGGGGATACAGGTTGAGATGAAAAAACTGCGACCAACTTCAAACTGCTTTCATTTCTAAGCCACTCGTCCGACAGCTGTTAAAATTATTCAAGTGACAGCTCAGTATATTTTTTACAAGCGTACAGAAACATTTTGATGAGAATTTCCCAGAAAAAAAACTATTCGCGATGGAATTCAAGCGTGATTCCATTCGGCAAATATTGAAAAAATGAGCTCGGGGTAAAGCTATTGAAACTTCAAAAAGTGCAAGAACTTACACCGCATCAGAAAGAAAATAGACTCGAAAGAGCTAAAGAGTTACCTCGCTTGGTCGAAAGTGGCGAACTGCCGAATTTGGTTTTCTCCGATGAGAAAACATTCGTTGGCCAGCAGTTTGTAAACAAACAAAATGATCGTATTCACTTGCCAAAGTGGTCAGCTGAAAATGTGCACCTTCAATTGGCGACCAGAACTCAAGCGCCGGCCATGGTGTGGGCCGACATAACTGCCGATGGTCGCTCTCCGCTCGTATTAATCAACCGTGACATTAAAATAAATGCCTAATATTATCGCTAAAAATATTCTTGAGGGTATATTAAAGCCTTGGGCAAGCAAACATTTTGGCCGCAGACCATGGACACTCCAACAGGATTCATCACCATCGCACTCAGCACACGCCACCCAAGAATGGTTTCAAAATGAGGTTCCTCGCTTCATTTCCAGCGCACAATGGCCACCAAAATTATCCGGAGAATCCATTGGACTATTGAGTCTGGAGTATTTTGGAAAGCAAGGTTGGCACTAAAAAATACCAAAGTGTTGATCACCTCAAGCCAGCGCTTCACCGGGAATGGGCGAAATCCATTGGACTATTGAGTCTGGAGTATTTTGGAAAGCAAGGTTGGTACTAAAAAATACCAAAGTGTTGATCACCTCAAGCCGGCGCTTCACCGGGAATGGGCCAAAATACCGCAGAGCAACATTCGGGCAGCGTGTGTCTGTTTCATTGGCCGTCTGAAGGCCATAATTCGAGCCAAAGCTGACAAATTCGAACAAATCTAAACTTATTCTAAAATTGGATGCCGTTTTTTGCTTTCAATCAATAAAATTTAAAAATTATGGCATTTGACTTTGTCTCGCCCTGTATATACCCTTTAATACGACCAAAACGTGCCTCATTGAAATAACGATTTCAGACCCTTGGTCTCTTTGGACCAAATCCGTTTCAGGGCATTTGGAGTCGATCTATCGATGTCCGTCCGTCTGTCTGGCTGATACACACAATAACTCTCGAAGGGAGTATCCGATTTATTCCAAACTTGGTACATCGTAATATTATTAGATCGAGTTAGGAAATGTACAATATCGGTCTACTCTTTCCGGTACCTCCCACACAGAATGTCGAAATATTAACAAAAATCAACTTAAATTAGGTTTTGCCGACAGATGTATACCCCCAGTCCTGAGTTATGATTATTGTAACCCTATATGGAGGAGGTTCCGAAGCAGTTGGCAAATTCATATCAATTCATATCTGACCTAAGCCTGATATAAATATTACAACGCCCCATATTTGGACTATATCGTCTACTTCCTATACTTTATATGAGATTTGAGCACATTTTTAGAAATATGGAAGTATGCGTGAGCTACGATATATAGCGGACCAAAATATTGCACTTCATCTAATACATATCAATATATTGGTACGGGAAAAATTTAAAGGCAATCTTATGCAAAATCATAAATTCCGATTAATTACATATTCATATCAGATTTCTGGCTAAGGAAAATATTTAAATATAGCAAATTGTAAAGAATCGTCGACATGTTTTGTAATTATGACAGATACAAGTAATGGAAATTGTGACTCTTTGCGGTTGAGGTACCAGAACGGGTTGGCAGATATCTATCATAGGTTTAACGTTAGCAAATATGTTTGGTTGTGTGAAATCTGTAGAAAGTTGGATGTTTATTTCGCGTTTTATGAGGGTTTTTTTATTTTTCAAAATGTTTAACGCTATGTTGGGGAAGTACCGGAAAGAGTGCGCCGACACATCCCATCTTCACAGGAGATCTTGTATTAGTAAAAATAATGGCATGTGTGAAATTTGAAGAGAACCGAATGCTTATTTCGGATTTAAAAATAGTTTTGGTTATTCGTAACTTTGACCCCTTTGTGGGGGAGATACCAGAAGGAATGGTCAAATCTCTAGTCTGAATGGAATCGGATGTTAATTTCGCGTTTTATGAGCTTCAGAGATATTCAAAATGTTGACCCTATGTTGGGGAAGTACCAGAAAGTGTGCGACGAAACATTCCATCTTCACAGCAGATCTTGTGTTAGTAAAAATAATGGCATGTGTTAAATTTGAAGAAAACCGGATGCTTATTTCGGATTTAATATTCGTTTTAGAAGAATGTGGAAATGTTCCAAGTCTGAAGTAAATCGGATGTTAATTTCACGTTTTATGAGCTTCATGAATATTCAAAATTTTGACCCTTTGTGAGGAAGGTACCAAAAGGAGTTATGCCATCTTCACACCAGACCTTGCTTGGGCTTATAAAAATATAGTGATGTGTTTAATTTGAAGATAATCTGACTCTTACATCACATTTTATAAGAGTTAAAATTATTCAAAATGTTGACCCTTTGTGGGGGAGGTACATGAAAAAGTGAACCGATATTCTCCATTTTGGCACCTGACCTAAAGCAGACGCAAAAATTAGGATTTGCAAAGTTGGACGAAAACCGGATTATCCTATCTCTCCGTTTTTTTTTCGAAAATTTCCACTTGTTGTGGGGAGGTACCAGAAGGTGTACCGATATCTGCCATTTCCGAACTCAATCTAAGTTTCCCTTTCGTATTAAATTATGATTTCACTAAGACTATTTTTTTTTCACAAAATTTATGATC